TATGACTCCCAGAATCACAGAGATTTTTAAAAAGTAGTTTTCCTAAGGTCTGGAGCCAGAGGTTGGGATTTTGATTCCCTGCCATGCCTCCTTGACAAAGGCTGGACTTGATCCATAGGGTCTCTTCCAACTCTGCAGTTCTAAGATGATTATGATATTGATGCATAAATTTTTAGCATTTTATATCTTCCAACTGACCCTTTGTAGGGAAGCCAAGTATTACCTTGCAGCAGGCAACTTCTCTTGTGATATTGAGCATTGCATCTTTACACTCTTGCCTGTTTTCCTAAATCAATCATACATGTGACAATTAAAAGACAAAACATCTGGTAGAGACTATTGCTCTACTATTTATTATTTATAAAAACACTGTAATCCCACTTTTTCAGATAGAATGCCCAAGGCACTCAACAAGAAACAGAATGTGTTAGCATTGTGCTATAATGCTAGCACAAATACATTCTACATTATTTGGCAACGCATGACTGAATTTGTTCCACTGAAAACTATAGAAACTCCTAGGTGGATCTGTGTAGCCAGTTGGTTGCCAACTTTTCAATCAGTCAAAGTCATTCAAACAGCAGCTTAATTACTGGCAGGTGAAAATGTTTATCTCCATACTATGCAATGCTTCACTTGCTGATTTCTACAGTTGAAATCTGCTGTGTTCCTCAACACAGGTGTTATTGCACAAAGCCCCTGTTCTGTGTTCTTAATGAGTCTTAGGATTCAATGCAAAAATAAAACAAAACAAGGAATGACTTTTACACTGAAATCCCAACATGAAAGATACACCTTTTGAAAAGCAGAATCCATAGAAAAAATAGATTATCTAATCCCTTAAAATGCAATCCTAGGTATGCGTATTTAGGATAATGCCCCTCTGTACTCATTTTAGCACGTCTAGATGCATAATTCAGTCTAAAGCAAACTATGCTTCCATTTATTGATGTAAGATGTTGCATGAGTAAATATCTCCCATGATCAAACCATTCTTCTTTGAATGCCAATAACTGGGCTTACTGCCCCAAAGATTCTCTTAGTCAGCAGACACCTATTTGTATAATAATGTGATTTTTAGTTGGGATGGGTAGTCATTCCACAGTATTCAAACAGGCCAGTGGGGAAATGACTCCCTAGAGATTTCTGTGAGAACAATTAGTGTCTTCAATTCCTGGTAAAAATGTGGGGTGGGGGCAGGGGCGGTGGAGAGAATACAAAAACAGTCTTGAGGCTGCCCACAATTTGTACAGTACTGTACTTTGCTCACTAAAGTCCTTTCGGTAAAAGGACTAAAAATGAACTGTTTCTATCAATTAATATATTTCAAAAAAAAAAAAGGCTACTGGAAGAGTTTCATAAACCATACAGGAATGACGGTAAACACCCATATCAGATAGAAAGGTGTTTTGGTAGACCGTCTGATTTTGGACAAAATGGGTTTTCTTTCCCTCCAAAAAGACAGCTCTGACTTATAGCAGTACTGTGGAAGGCAGAAACTCAGTGAATGCTGCTTGTCCCAATAATTTAGGCAAATACTGAATTTTATTTGTTGAAATGTTGCATTTTAAATTTAAACTTAAAGGTAAAGGTTCCCCTTGATATTTAGTCCAGTCATGTCCGACTCTAGGACGCAGTGGTCATCCCCGTCTCCAAGCCGTAGAGCCAGCATTTGTCCGAAGATAGTTTCCGTGGTCACGTGGCAAATATGTATAGGTGCTTAGCTGTTGTTGAGATGGAGACTAGCTTGAGAAGGAGCCCAACAGAAGCTACTCACTTAGAAGGGGCAACAGGGGGCAATGCAAAGTTTTGTTTTTCATCTCCAATTATCTGGTTCTCACACAAACCAACAGATTAGGTAGCTCATATAAGGGCAGCTTGTTTTTCACTCCCAGACAAGATAATGAATGAAGACTTAGTCCTATTTTCTTGGAAGGCCGCATCATTTCTTTGATTGAAAATTCTATCTTGTTCATATCTGGGTTAATGACATTTACGGGTCACTGAGTAACAGTGCAAGCAATTTTACTGCAATCATTCCAACTTTAAAATTTGAAAATGGATCAGGCATTTTGACACATCTGAAATAAAATGGGAGGCAGGGTTGCTATAAAAAAAAGAGATCAGCCAACAGGCATGCAATAAAAACCAACAGGACAGAAGTTCAACAACTCTTATGGGTTGTGGAGAGACTTTAAAGAAAAAATACAGACGAGAAGGAAACTCTTGTTTTTCATTTGGTACAAAATCTAATGCATGAGGGCTTCACTGTCTATGTTCTAGCTCATAAATTCAAATATTATTTGATGAAAAGATTAATCTTCTAGATCTTTTATTTCTATGCAAATATCCCAGGTCTGTTCCCTCAGAAGTCCTACAGTGTTTCACAAAACTTGCTCCAGGGTAACTAACTGTGTGCAGTACTCAAACCTAAAGTCTATTCTGGTAAACCCCTGACTCCCTTAACCATACTCCCCTTTCTAACCTCCTTGATATTACCCTTAGACATTTTTACTTCATAACTCCCCTGGCCATCCTCCCATATTAATTTTAGTCCTTGAGCCCTTCTTTTTCCCCAGGATGGAATTTTACTCTGAAATAACATTAAAAACACTGGAAATAAAAAGGAAGGCAATGATAGCAAGATCTGTAAGTAAGCGAATGGTGGGAATAATTGTGTTTGTGGCTTATTAGTAAACAATTAGAGAGTTTATGTTGTTAAATCATAGTCAGGTTAAAAAAATACACATGTGATTGACTGGAATTTGATCAGAAGGTTCAGGGGTTGTCATGTAAGTCAGTGGTCCCCAAACTTGGGCCTCCAGATGTTCTTGGACATCAACTCCCAGAAGTCCTGGCCAGCAGAGATAGTGGTGAAGGCTTCTGAGAGTTTTAGTCCAAGAACATCTGGAGGCCCAAGGTTGGGGACCACTGATTGTAAGTGATAGCCTGAGATTATGATGTTGTAACGTTTCCCAGCATGCTTGCCTTTTTACGTGGTCCTTGATTTACTAGGTTTTGAGGAAACAGGAAAGAGCACTACAGAGAGATGTTTCAACTAAAAGTCCTTTATTAAAAATCTCCTAGACCACAAAGCAGCATGTGCCTTTGAGAAATATACACAAATATTTGTAAGCAAATATGTCCACAAGTGTTTCTGTCCAGGACTAAAAGCATTCCCTTTTATATTCTCCTCCCACAGGGCTTGGTAGCCCAGTGACCTTCTGGGCCTGTCTCTTAAAGCAGACTGCACACACACAGTCACAATGGATACATTTCCCTTCCTACCACAGCTAATGTGCTGGACCTGTTGGAGGAGTTCAAAAGTAGGGAAGTGGGTGATGACCCTGTATTTAAGTGGGTTTTTCAAGCTTCCTGTTGGAGATATCCAATCAGTCACTGCAGGAAATTAGGATGCTGGATAAAATGGTCCTTCCTTTGGGTTAATTCAGTACAGCTCTTTTTACATTCTTTTTAACAAAGAAGGATGCCTGTAGGGAAATGGTGCATTGCAGTGCTTCACCTCAAGCTACTCCCTGTCTGCCTCCTTACTCAAGGCAAGGTGTGCATATCTTCCCCTCCTGCTGAACTCCAAGCCCCAGAAGGGTGTCCGTGTATGTATCTACCTGTGAGTAAGCCAACAGTTCTGCTTTGAAAGGAAGAGTGCAGATCAGCAGCAGGTCAGAACTTTCCTAACTTTGGGGGGGGGGGCAAGGTGCACTTGTCTACTCCTCAGCTCACTGGTGAAGTAAACCAATAGGGCAGGAGAAATTAGCGTTTGGGTGAAAGCTTGCTCACTTCTGGATGTGTGAATGTTTGCAGGTCTGTCTGCAGAACGGTGTGTGGAAATACTAACTTTGGTCCCCATTCTGCCCACCATTGGCTGCTGTGCCTTCTCCGCACTGACCAGAAGGCACCAGACACTAACTGGTTCTTAATCATCATCATGTCCATCAATCTAATTCTGATTTATGGCCACCCTTTCCAGGGTTTTCCAGGTAGGGAGTACTCAGGAGTGGTTTCCCATTCCTTTCTGGGGCCGCCCTGGGACTGGGCAGCTTGCCCAAGGCCACCCAGGCTGGCTCTTCTCCCTGGAGGTCCCATGGGGAACCAAACTCCCATATCCAAACCACTGAGCTATCCAGCCAGCGCATAAATGGCTGCTCCTTATAACTCCTTCATAATTCCTGCCTTGAAATCGCCCTCATGCCTTCACTCCCCCTATGTAATTAAAACCCACACCGTGCCCAAGAAGCAAGAACGAGTCACTAAATACATTAGAGAAGGAACGATCGGCCATCAGTGCCCCCAGCCCACAATCGATGCAGTTTCTGGTGCAGAAAATTGTTATTATTAATAAAATAAACAGCCAACGACCGGAAGTAGGAAAGCTGAAAGTGCGGCTTAAGGAGGCTATTTTCGCGCGCCGAGAGTGGTGCTGGGGCGTGGTCTTTTATTAGCTATATATATAGCGGCGTTTCTTTTTCCTTTGGAAAGTTCCCCTTCGCGGCAGATCTTGTTACGCCTTCGGGTTATTTATCGAGATCTCTCCCCGTCCCCTTCGGTTAATATTTTCTTTTTCTTGTGAATCCCCCAACTGGTGAGCTGCTCCCACGGGGACTGTGTCTGCGTGCGCGCGTGTAGGAGAGGGTGTGTGTGTGTGGGGGTCGCGATTCCCCGACCGGCACTGGAGGAAAGGTGGAGTCGTGTGTGTGTGTGTGTGTGGTTTTTTTTAATCGCTCACGTGGCGAATTTTTCCCCTCAGAGAGCCACATAAAAGGGAAATCGCTGCAGAGAAGAAGGGGTCTTTTTCTCTTTCCTCCTCAGCTGCCTCCTGCCCAACTCGGTTGGTGAAATAAAAGGCCCGCCTTGGCTGTTCCAGAGTCTCCGGCTCGTGTGCCAGTCTTTGACCCTATCCGTTTTGCGGATTTCCCCTCTGTTCCTCCTCCGATTGTGTGTGTGTGTCCGTCCTTGTCCTTCTTTTTCTTTTCTTTCGAGTGCCTTCTCTTACAAATAGAATTTGGAGAGCAATGTTTTAGGGGGATCGTTTTAAATTTCCCATTTTTTTTTTCTTATGTAAGGCAAAGGGCGGCCTACGACTGGCTCCTACCCAGATGGATGTTTTAGTAATAATTCCCTTTTCCCCTTCTGTTTCTCCTCTTGTTCATTATTCTGGACTTGTGTAATCACAGCGAGGTGGTGTGATTTATGATCCTGTTGGTTTTTTTTGCTTCAGAGGTTGTCTGTTCGTCTTCACGTGGGTTTTTTTTCAGCGTTCGTGGCAGGCAAGCAGAAATCTGTGCTCGCCAGCAAGGCGGTCTTGTGGGCTGTGGCTGTTTTTTCTTTCCCCACTTTTCAAAGGAACCCAAAATGTCTGCGGAATTAATGTTTCCACTTAAGAAAGGCGGTTACTACTAATTTGTTAAAGGTCTCCTTGTGAGGTAGACCGTTTGTGACTGGCCCATAATTCCTGTACTGTACTTTGAGCTGTATTCGGTGATACTGTGCGTTCAGCCCCATGCATGGCCCCTCAGAGGAATAACGCTGGCTTATTACAGAAGCATTGTTCGAATATGATATAGAGGTATACAAAATGTGATGGTTTGATGGACTAGGACTGTGGAGAATGGGGTTCAAATCCCTGCTCAGCCATGGAAACTCACTGGGGGTGGTGAACTGGTAAAACCACTCATTGAATATCTCACTACCTCCCTTGAAAGCTCTGTTAGGGTCCCTATAAGTTGGTTGTGATTTGATGGTGAAGAACACACATTTTTAAATGTTGAACATAAAAGTACAACTGATGTTTTCCTTAAAATAAGAATGTTTTCTCTGTTTAACTATTTTGTGTATTGTTTAAAGTATTGTTTCTGCCTTTCTGCTTAAAAAGGACTTAAGGCAGCATACTGTACATCATTAAAAGACAGTACAGTATATAAATGTGTAACACCAGTGAGTGTACAAATACAGGTACTGTACTGAAAAGGGTAAAACAAGTGCCACTCTGAGAACTGGTTGCTCACAACGCCTTCAAAGCAGTATGATATAACAAATCATTTTAAAATGCCACTCAGGCAGCCAATCACTGAGGGAAAGCTTGCTTGAAGAGAAAGGGCTTGTATTTTAATTTTAACTTGATATCGCAAATCTCTAAAAAAATACACTTGGCATAAAGTATTTCCCTAGACTAGACTAATAGACATAGCATTTATTAGTCTTGGTATTTATTTGTATAGAGCCAGAACAACAAACATATGTTTCAAGAAGGTTGCAGTTATCTTGAAACTGAAAGTGAATGCAAGGCCAGATTAGTGCTCTGGCACTAATTGTGTGTGTGTGTGTGTGAGAGAGAGAGAGGGAGAGGGAGGGAGAGAGAGCCATTTTAAAAAATAATCTAGATTTTCGTTTCTTTTGGCACTTGTATATGCTGTGAAGTACAGCTATTTTCTTTTAAATCCAAAATTATCTGCCTGATATGCTCAAGGCATTAAAGGATACATAAGCCTTCTCCAGGAAACTGTAATTTAGTACACATCCAGTGGTAAATTATGGTTGCAAATTCCTCATGGCGAAGAGAGCTCATATATTGTAAGGATAAAATGTAGTAAAATACGTTATGATTGGATATGAGCAGATATATAAGTGGTCTGCATTAAACTTAATTCTGTTCATGTTTGTCTTTAGGTAATAGCTGTACATCGTTGTGGCTTTTTAAAATTGCTTCTGAGTAATCCTGCTTTGTACTGGAAGAAGAGTATAATTAGAATAAAGGAAAACAAGTCCTGATACCAACTATGAGCTACAAGGTATTTGAAATAGTTGTGTAAAGTTTCTAGTACTGTATAGGTGATAGAGGATAACCAGGGTTGAGCAGGATTTGTTGATCTGATTCCATAGGTCATCATTCTGTAATGCAGTGGGTTTCTGAATTAGAATCTACTTCAGTATTCTTGATTTAGGAATCACCAATATTATATATGTGAAAAAGTGGGAGATAAGAGATTTTCATGAGTTATTTCTAAGGACTTAGAATTTTTTTTCCAAATTTTTCAATATTTGATAAGGAAGGAATGATGGAGTTGGATAATTACCGTATTAATTTCAAATTTATTAACAGCAGCAAGGCTAATAGTAGCAAGAAAGTGGAAAGCAAAGCATTATTTTAAATGAAATGAATGGTATAATGGATATAGCTATTAATGTTAACTATAATAAACTAAAGAAGTGTTGAGAAATATTTTTATTGATATCTGCAGAGAATATATCAAATTTTTATTATTGAAGGGGAAGTGTAATGCACCTTTGCAAGAGTTAGTGGAATTTTGAAAGAGGAATGTGACTCTGTAAATGGAAGAAAAGCTAGCTATACAGTGGTGCCTCGCACAGCGAGGTTAATCCGTTCCGGATTAACCCTCGCTGTGTGAAAACATCGCTGAGCGGGGCAGAAAAGCCCATTGGAACGCATTAAACAGTGTTTAATGCGTTCCAATCGGCTGCTGTACTCACTGTTCAGCGATGTTTCTCCGATGGCCGGGAGCCCTTTTCGTGGCCTCCCCTCGCTTAACGAGGGCGCGAAAACGCTGTGCGCAGCCATTTTGCAGCTGCCGGCGGCCATTTTGTAGCTGCCGAGCAGCTGATCGGCAGGTCGCAAAGCGAAGGTGGGTAAGTGAACCGCTTACCGACCTTCGCTCTGCGATTTTTTCCCTATTGAGACATCGGTATGCGATCGCAAAACCGGTCTCGTAGAGCATATTCATCGCTCTACGGTGCACTCGTTATGCAAGGCACCACTGTATTTCCGTATGGTCCTGGTAGGTGGGGAGCATGTTATATATAATTGTATTGTTTATGTGGGTTTGTGTTGTTAAATTTTTTAAGATGTGTAATGTGTTGTTGTTGTAGAAATATATATTAAATATATATATTTTAAAAACCTTTCCAAATAGGCCTACAGTCTCAAAACACAAAGGCTGTTCAGTTTTAAATCCCTAGAGCATAGTGGTGTTATTTGTGGGGTTTTTTTTAAAGGCAGAATCCCTATATAGTTATAAGCTATTTTGTACTCCTCAATGTCATATATCTAGATTGCAGCACTTTTCTTCCTCATCAGAGTGTTTCACTCATCCCATTGAGCCTATTTAAAAAAAAAAAACTTAACCACATTTTAGATTTGTTATTGTTGGACAAACTAACACAGTATATTATATAAGCAGCACGCTTTGCTTTTGCTTTACTAGATACTACAGAATTGGCTGTGTTGGTGGTCTCAACATACCGTATTTTTCGCACCATAAGATGCACTTTTTCCCCACAAAACAGGGGGGTGGAAAGTGTGCGTCTTATGGAGCGAAGAAAACAGATTATATTTTCCTGTTTTCTTCTATTAAAAAATTGGTGCGTCTTATGGAAAGGTGCGTCTTATGGAGCGAAAAATACGGTAATTGTAAAATTACAATAATAATTAGCCATCAAGTTAATTTTGACTTATGGGGACCCTTTTCAGAGTTTTCCAGGTAGAGAATACTCAGAAGTGGTTTACCCAGTCCCTTCTGTGGTAGCCCTGGGACTGTGTGACTTGCCCAAGACCACTCACTCCGGCTGGCTCTAATTGCAGGTGGCACAGTGGGGAATTGAACTCTGGCTCCACAGATAGATCCCCAAACCACTGAGCTGTCTATCCAACTGCAAAAGTATTAGCATTAATTCCCCCAGAAGATACTGCTTTCTGGATTTTTGTGCTAAAACCGGTATAGAAGTACAGTGGTGCCTCGCTTAACGAGCACACTGCATAATGACGAAATCGCATAGCGATAAGATTTATGCGATCGCAAATGCGATTGCATACCGATGGCCCCTATGGGCAAAAATCGCTTGGCGAAGATCGGTAAGCGTTTCGCTTACCAATCTGCGCAAAGCGATGATGCGGATCAGCTGTTCGGCGGCTCCAAAATGGCCGCCGGAAGCCCCGAAATGGCTGCGCGCAGCGTTTTTGCGCCCTCCCCTCGCTTACCGAGGGCGCGAAAATGGCTGCTGGCTATGGAACAACTTAGCTAAACAGTGAGTTTTGGAGCCTATTGGAACGCATTAAACTAAGTTTAATGCATTCCAATGGCTTTCCCCGTTTCGTACAGTGATGCGAGGCACCACTGCACACAAGCAGGGTGGCAGAGGGTAACTAGTTGTTAATAGTGCCTCCAATAGTATTCATTTATTTTCTATGTGTGCAATACCATGTTTCCCTGAAAATAAGACAGGGTCTTATATTAATTTTTTCTCCAAAAAACACATTAGGGCTTATTTTCAGGGGATGTTTTATTTTACAGTCATGTCTTATCTTCTGGTTGCAGCACAATGGTGGAGGGCAGGGTTTCACTTAACTGGGGCTTAATTTGGGGGTAGGGCTTATATTACGAGCATCCTGAAAAATCCTATTAGGGCTTATTGTCAGGTTAGGTCTTATTTTCAGGGAAACAGGGTAGTTGTATGACCTTGTTGGTTTATTAACAAATAATTGTACTGTTTTCTGGTTAGAGGAGATATTTCGTAGATCCATATGAATCTCAGCAGCAGAGTTACCATCATTTTCTAGAAGGTTCCATCCATTACACAAATGTGGTTATACAAGACAACTATGGTGAGTTCATTTTTTCCTCTTTGCGTAGCCTAATCAATAAGGTAGAGAGTAGCAGCATTCCTTTCTGGTGCTGATGAAATACATTCAGCTTAATCTGAGGGCCAAAATGGACTGACATTAAATGCATGGATGTCTTGAATGGGTCAGGGTTTTTTAAATCACCTAAATAAAATTTATATTAACTACAGAACATGAAGTGGAGAGGAGGGGAGTGGCAGATTGATGGAAGTGGGTGGAATGTAGACTTGCAATTCAATGTTATAAACCTGAAAAAAGGACATTTTTTAAAAATAACCCCCTCCAACATTAGTAGTACTGTCCTGCTGACATTGCCCCCATTTAGTCTAGAGATATTTCCATCAGTAGACCCACATACAGTGCCTTCCTGAAGCTAGCTTTTACAGGTAATTCTAAGAAGGACTTCAAGCAGTTGCATATTAAACATTCACATTGTTGGCCATGTATGTTTTGTCCCAAAATTCTGACAGTCGTTAATGGTTTTCTGAGGAACAATTTTTCTTAAGATATACTATAGGGCATGTTAAGTCTTGAGAAAAGAAGACTGAGGGGAAATATAGTACTTTTCAAATGCTTGAAAGGAAGTAATATATAGGAGGGGCAGGGGCTGTTCTGAATCATACCAGATTACAGGACATGTAATAATGGGCTCAAGCTACAGAAAACCAGATTTAGGTTGAATGTAAAGATAAAACTTTAACTGTTAGAGCAATACAACAATGGAACCAGTTATCTTAGGCAATGGTGAGCATTCCAGTGTTGGAGGCATTCAAGAAAAAGCTGGACAACCATCTGTTGGATCTGGTTTGATTTGGATTCCTGCATTGATTGGAGTTGGACTCAGTGGCCATACAGCCCCCTTCCAACTCAATTTTTCTATGATTCTATAATTGTAGATTAACAACATTGCTAATACAGCAATTTTGCTACTGCTCAAGTGAAAAATTTCTAGTTCTCATAGGGGACTTGACCTTTTCAGAAGCAAAATAAGATATAGCTGATGTCACAGCCGTAAATACTCCCGTAAATACTGGTATGCTACATCAGTGGTTCCCAACCTTGAATCCCCAGGTGTTCTTGTACTGCTATTTCCAGAAGCCTTTACCACTAGCTGTGCTGGCCTGGGTTTTTGGGAGTTGTAGTTCAAGAACATCTGGGGACCCAAGGTTGGGAACCATTGTATTGCATCTGCTGCATTTCTTAATGCACTCTTGGCATTCAGTGTTAAGTCCATGGGACGGAGTTCCTCTTATGAAATTCACTTGAAGGAAGAGGACTAGGAACTTGTCCATGTCATGTTATACACAGCAGTACAGTCCAGCTTTGGGGGTGGGTGTCATTTATTTTATTATTTATTAAAGTATTTATATGCCGCCTTTCTCCTAAAGGATCCAAGGCAGCTTACAGTTTTCAAAGAAACAATGTTAAAAGCCAAATAATAAATTATTACCGTATTTAAAAAGCATTAAACAAAGGTCACATTAAAACTCATAGTAAAAACACAAAGAAAACACAGAATAAAAGACTCCTTTTAAAAAATTCCCTTGGTCAAACCAGTCATTTAAAAGAAAGCCTGCCTGAAGAGAATGGTTTTTGCCTGCTTGTGGGAGGACGGCAAAGACGGGACCAGCCTGGCTTGTGGGAGGGAGTTCCAAAGTCTGGGAACAGCCACAGAAAAGGCTTTCCCCCCTGTCCTCACCAAATGTGCCTGTGAGGGAGGCAGGACCAAGAAAAAGGTTTATTCTAATTATCTTAATACCCACACAGGCTCATAAAGGGAGATACGGTCTTTTAGAGAGCTTGGACCCAAGACCCAGCCAACCGCAGCTTTTGGGGGGGGGGGAATTTTGTCAAACTCATAGGAAGGGGATTCTGATGTGAGTGGAATTAGACCCTTCTATCTATACATGCATAGTGCTTTCAACTCACAACCATAACTCCAAAAAGTAGTGGTAGAGGTGCAGTTTGGTTGCCCTTGTTATAATGGGTGGGGACACTCTATTCTGCATATATATAACTTATATATTAGGAGAATGTAATTTTACTCAATCAGTATGTTGGATTTTAATTGTTTAACCTGGGAATATTTTTTAAAGCTTTCCTTGCTTGGTGTTTAGTTCTTCATGGTGATGACTCGGTTTGTGTATCATAATGTTAGAAATAATTATATAAAAAGAGAGAAGACATTTCATGGCCTCTGCTAGGTGAAGGATTCATTCCAGACAGAATAGACACCCTTTGGATTTTGACTAGACCCAGAAGCCATTCTGAACCATAAATGCCCCCTTCCAGTCAATTCTCCTCCTCCACATTTTATTATTGTAATGAATGAAGCTTTTTCCTCTCCCCCTCCCGCTGCCACCCCTCCGTAATGCCACACTGCTAGTAACCACTTGCGCTCACTAGCTTTGGGAGTCCAGCGCAGCCCCTGATTTCTCTCTCCCAGGCTGTTGCCCACAAAGTAGGGTGCTCTGCAGCCTTATCTTAACACTGTAACCCTGCCTTGCGATAGAGGGGTGCACAAATGAAGGCCGCTTATTTTATGAGACTGCTCGGGATGAGATTGGCGGTTCTTCAGTTTCCTTGAATAACTCTTTTAATCGCTCTGTCTTAATTGAGTAGCTTCAGGGATTCAGTTTCTCTGCGGCTTTTTGTTTGCTCCACAAATGTGGTTGCTAACATCTGCAGGATTGCAATGCGTTGCTAAAGACATTTTCTTTGTTTAGTATCCCAGTCGTTCAAATCTTTTGAGTGAATTTAATTAGCCACCAGACTTGGAAGTGATTTTGCGGTAATGAAATACTTAAGGGATGGCAGTTTTTCTTGCCAGTCTGATTGAGTCCGATGTATTAATGTGCTTGTGTGTTTTAAGTGTGAAAACATCAAAGACACTCTTTTAGACCAGAGGTGGACCAGTTTAGCAAGTGGGGAGACAAATCTGAAATGAGAGATTCTGGCCCAAAAATGGCCCAGACTAGAGAAAGCCTTTATTGTTGTTGTTATTTTGTTGGGGGGGGGCAGAGTGGAAGGCCTTGGAGACCTCCCCCATCCCCAAATGGAATTCCTCTTTTGAAAATGTTATGAAGGGCTGTATATCAGCCATGGGGACTACAAAGAGGTTTCGGGAAGTTTCATATGACCTATAGACTATCCTTTCTGCATTAGACCTTAAACCAGTATTTCCCAGCCTGGAGATCATTACCCTTAAGGGGGTCTCAGAGTGTTTTCTGGAGGGGTTGCGGGTAGCCTTATATGTGTTGTAGCTCTTGTTAAATAATTTATTCCTTGACCTTTGGAGGAGGGATATTAAGGTTCGTGTCAGTGTGAACTCAGGAGAAACAGGCACTTTGTGGGGAAGAAAGAAGCCTCTTCTGCAAAGAGAGGACTTTATCCCATTAAAAATGCCTTTCTATGCAAACTTTGAGGAGGGGGGAGTCACAGGTTACTTGGCTATTATAAAAGGGGGCTGTGACTTGAAAAAAGATGGCGAACCATTTCCTTAAACAATGCTGCCAACTTCTGCTTATTCTTTCCTCACAGATGCTTTGGATCCTGATAAACCAATGCAATGTCCATATGACAAAAATCATCAAATTAGAGCTTGTAGGTTCCCTTATCACCTCGTCAAGTGCCGTAAGGTAAAGAATAAAAATGTTGTGTTTAAATGACAATACTGATGCTGTATATAGAAGACTGGTGTCTTGTTGCCTATTATCTGAATTGTAAGTTCATTTCTTCCAGTGTTAGCACTACTATGGTTCCCAGCTTGTATAAAAGACAACTTTCAGCAATTCTTCAGACATTCACCTCTTTTTTTTGTCATGGCTTCGCATGGTATTATGCCCATACCTGCACCACCTCTTTGGCCTGATGCTCATTCTTTGTCATCTCTCCACAGACTAAAGGCGGAATAGCTGACGTGCCTATTTCTGAATAGGGAAAGTCTTTTCCTTCAGTCTAACAGAAGGACAGATATTTCTAAGCTGTGTAGGGGCCAATGTCTGTAAATATGCACTTTTTTAGTTTGTTCTTTAGGAATCCCCCCCCAAATTTAAGATTTTTTTTCTTTAAAAAGGATGTGTCTAATGTTAATAAAATAGCCCTTTTTTGCATGGGCCTCATTACTAAGGGCTACTGCAACCCAGAGGTCCCCAACCCATGGTCCACAGCCCGGTGCGGTTCTGTGGCCTGAGCCAGACCAGGCCGCAGAGACAGACCTCCCGTGCCCCCCCTCATCCCATGCACAGCTGATCTGCGGATATGCACACGCTCCAATGTGCCCGTGTGAGCACCACACTGCCGTTTGCACATGTGCGCCTGCACAAGTGCCGTGCCGCTGTTCGCTCATGGGCATGAGGATGCACACGCTCCAATGTGCCCGTGTGAGCCACACTGCCATTTGCACGTGTGCGCCTGCACAAGTGCCGTGCCGCCGTTCGCTCATGGGCATGAGGGCAGGGGGTGCCCCACCTTCCCCAGCCGGTCCGCAGGGTGAAAAAGGTTGGGGATCCTTTCTGATCAGATTTCTAGCAGTTTACAATGTCTGATGCTTCCAGTCATTTACATTTCTTAAGTACAGATAGACTACATTTTGAACTAATGTTTTTGGCACTCTAAATCATATTTTGGAGTATTACAAATATAAGGTCTCTAGTCTTGATCCGTTTCTGACTATGTTTGGTTTAATAAATAACTCTCTAGGTTGATCAGATTATAGCGGTTCCTAACCTTGGGCAACCCACATGTTCATGGACTGGAACTCCCAGAAACCCCTTTAGCACAGCTGGTGGTGAAGTATTTTGGGAACTGCAGTCCAAGAACACCTGGGTTACCCAAGATTGGGAATTTCTGCACAAGGTGAAAAACTTGCAAGTGTCCAGATACTGTTGGAGCGCAGCTCCCTTGTCCCTCTCTTTTGGCTAAGGCTGATAGCAATTGCAGTCTGACGTTATCTGGGCAGTTCCAAATTGGCATTAAGCTAGTTGGGCAAGAAATGTATTGCATATAAATCTTTGGAGATTTTTTTAATGTTTGGAGACCTGGAAATGGTACATCTGAATGCAGCCATAACAGAGAGATGGGCTCTGCATAGCTTTAAAGTGTTTTCCATTTAAAACATTGCAAGCACATAAACTACGTTTTCTTACTTCTTTCTTTGAAAACTCTACCGTATACAGTAATTCAGTAGAGACAATACTGAAGTACTTGCTACTAACCTATGGGGCAGTGCAAAGTCTTGAGGACATCATGAGAGTATTGGGACAAAATTTTATGTCTTAGAATAAAGTTTCATCTGTGATAAGACATATACAGTGGTGCCCCGCATAGCGACAATAATCAGTGCAGCAAAAATTGCTGCAAAGCGATTTTGTCACTATGCAGTTTTTAAAAGCCCATAGGAATGCATTGAAACCCCTTCAATGCGTTCCTATTGGCTTCAGACTCACCTTTAAGCGAAAATCCTCCATACGTCCGCCATTTTTGCTGCCCGGTAAGCGAGGAATCCGGGCAAAAACAGCAGCCGGCCATTTTTTTAACCCGGTGGCCATTTTGGAACCGCCAATCAGCTGTTGGAAAATCATCACTATGTGAAGATCGGTATGCGAAACAGCGTACTGATCATCGCAAAGCGAGTTTTCCCTATCTAAATCATCGCAATGCGATCGCAAAAATGATTGCAAAAAATTCGTCACTATGCGGATTTGTCGTTAAATGGGGCGCCCGTTAAGCGAGGCACCACTGTATATATTGCCACCTCTAGACTAGGAATTTTACTGAACATATTCAGATCCCCTTTTCTAAGTGCCATTCTGACTTTACCAGTGCTCTTCTTTCCCACTGCTCACGGTAATATAAAACAGTAAGGGTGAGATCAGGCTTAAATTCATTTATTTCCTGTAAAATGTGTTGTAATATAAAACAAGAATCAAAGAAGTTTAGAAGGTGGAGACATAAATGTAACATTGCAAAACATAGTTTTGTGCATGTTCTGTAATTCGCATTTACCACATCTGTAAATGGGTATTTATCTGATTCATGAAAGATAATCAGTAAGCTGGGTGTTTTTTTTTCCCCACTTTACATAGCATTTCCTCAGTGCAAAAATGTGTGCTTTAAGCAACTGAAACGGGTGACGATACCAAGCAACCCTTTGTCCTTCCATTAAGTTCCAGGGTACAATGGTGTATGCCAATGACAGACATAACACCAGGCTTCAATTTAAAGCAGTGGTTTCCAACCTTGGGTGACCCAGCTATTCTTGGACTGCAACTCCCAGATACCCCAGCCAGCACAGCTGGTGGTGAAGTCTTTTGGGAACGGCAGTCCAATGACACCTGTGACAGCACGCAATGCTCTTTCACAGAGTAAACTCCACATGTGTTGCCTGCTCCTCATACAGGGTTTTGCAAAGCTTACTTCATGTTGAAGTCCAACTTCAGGCAGCTGGAAGAGAGCTCTTTTTTACTGGTTGTGTATTTGTCCTTGTTTTGTGGGCAACCAGTTATCACATGGGTAATGATGACTTTGCCAAAATACATGTGTAATATATTGGTAATGGGTAGATTTAAAATAAGACTAGCTGGACCAAGATTTGTATGCAAGCATGTCTGAGATAACGGGGAATCTGGTAACAGGTGCATGTCTCTGTTGTCTTAGAACCATCCTGACATTGTGCAGCAGCTGGTCACATGCCCATTTAATGCCCGTCATCAAGTCCCCAGAGAGGAGATCAGCCAACATATATCCAGCTGTGATGACAAAAGACGCGTTGAGCAAGACATTGGTAAGTAAAACATGGGTAATCTGTGCAAATTGCCTATTGGCAGCTGCGGCTTCCCCCTTTCCCCTGCTGTTAACATTTCCAAAGGGCTGCTGAATGGCTTCTCCTTCATCTCCTAAAAGCCCTTGCAGTATCTCTTGCTGTGTGTTGTTAGCTCTTTAGTGTTCCACCGATTGTGATTTGGAGAGGTATAGGTGGACTTCTCCCATACTTTGGGGAGTTTTCGAACTGTTTGAGTTCCTGTTAAATGCTCTACTATAAATTATACACATTAAGATGAAAATGATTTGGTGTTCTTGCCAGTGAGCCACAATAATAAAGATCTCAGGTCATGCGTATCTCCTGTTTAGCTCTTGCGTGAAGTATGCAGGCTTGGACAAATATTCCAATTATCTGCTCTTTTGTGAAGTATTCAAATGCCAGTCTCAGGTTTTTTTGCCTGCAGGACTTTTAGAGCACAAACTCCAGCTGAAGAAACTGAACATTAGCTTTATGTCTAGGGGTGATTTTCTCTGGTTGTGAAACATCTTTGCTTGGAAAGGATATACAGTAAACCAGAATCATCCTTGTAGAGTGGTGCCTCGCATAGCGATCGCTCCGTTTAGCGACCGTCCAATACATTTCAATGAGGAAAAATAAAAAAATCAGCAAAAATGAACGAAGACTCAGAACAACACCAGATTAAGTTTGCATGCCTTTCACAAGCTGGACTATCGATGCCAAGCATTTAAAACAGTTTAAGACACTTTTAAATGAGGGGATAGGGACATCGTTATGTGAAAATCCCCCATAGGAAACATCGCTGTGTGAGGCAGCAACTTGATCAGAAAAAGACATCGTTACGTGAATTCATCGTTGTGTGAGGCACTCGTTGTGCGAGGCACCACTGTACTAAACTTGTAAAATCAGTCACTACTATTTAAAATGAGGCATAAAAATTATAATGCCAGTAAGCATTTCTTCATCTAGACCAGTGGTTCTTAACGTGGGCGATAATGCCCCCCAGGGGGTGATTTCATTTTTCAGGGGGGCGGTGGAACAAAAAGGGGCGGTGTGGGGGCGCATATATTTTCCTCCAATTTTAATTTAGTTTCAGACTTTTTGTCTTGAAATTTTTAGTTCCTGCATTTGTTTTTATGCCCTTTTTATATTTCTTTTTGCGTCTTAAAATTCACTTGCAACTAAATTATTAAATATTACTTTTTGGGGGGCATTTCGTTTTCTTGGAATGTAATTTTGTTTTCAGGGGTCATTGGATTTAAGTGTCATAAATCAATCAATCAATCAATCAATCAATCAATCAATCAATCACTGCGGGGAGGGGGGCGATGATAACTTCCTCAATGGCTCAAGGGGGCGTTTCTTTCAAAAAGGTTAAGAACCACTGATCTAGACTAGAATGCATTTGTAATACTGTAGAAATAGACACACTTAAAATACAGCCAGAGCGTAGTATTTCACCAGTATTTAGATTTGGTTTTTCAGATGACACAGCCATTTGGAAAAGTTTAATAGTCTTGATGGCTTTAAAGAATTAAAAAATAGACAAAGACAGAAAGTATCTTGTGCAAGGTTGATTGATTTTTTATATGGTAGGATCAAGTTCCAAAAAATCCACAAGAGTTCTCCTTTGTGTGTTGACGCATAGAGTGCATCAGAGTTAAGTTAAAACCATATTTGGTGGAGATAAGACATCTCTGTGTTCTTTCTTTGTGATGTTTCTGACACATCATGTGGATTTTAGAAATTGCTCTTAGGATAGATTCATCAGCAAACTTACTTCATGCAGCACTGATCCTTAGCTGATTTAAGAAGTGCGGAGTGCTCTTCCTACTGAGCCATTAAATGACCTTGACAGCTTAACTGTTACAGAGCAGTATGACAGTGGAGCCAATTACCATGGGAGGGGGGAAAGCTCTTGTGCTGGAGACACTCAAGAGAAAAATGGACAACCATCTCTCAGATCTGCTTGGATTTGGATTCCTGCACTGAGCAGGGGCTTGGACTTGATGGCTTTTTAGGCCCCTTCCAGCTCCATGATTCTGGAAGAATGCCTGTGCTTTCCAGAAAACTCTGGTCCAGCACTAGCAAACTGTTATTCAAGTGCTCTCTAACGATGACTCTTATTTATTCTAGCAAGTCAAGTGGATAACAACAGAAGAGAAATTAATGTTGTAAGTACCTGGCAATCTCCTCCGTGTGAAGAAGACTGGGATAAAGGTGAGACTTTTGTAGCAGGTCGATTAATTGAGTAATTGTGACTGAAAACCTTTCTTGAAACTAAAAAATCTGTTAGGAAGATATTCCTGCTAGATATACTAACAGGGAATACCTATTTTTGCCCTATCTCTTATTTTCTATCACCTATACTGTGTAGCAAATGTAACTTTTAAAAACTCCTAAATATAAATTATATTTATCTATTAAATTTCTGCTTGCTTGTTTTTACAAGTATTATTTGATCAGTTTTATTCAGCTTAACGAAGGGTGTTTTATTTTATTTCTCATGCTTCTTGGTTGTCATGCAAACAATAACCTTGATTATCTGTATGCTTTGGCAGATCTAATGGATCAGAAAAGCACTGCCTTTGTTTGGGGCACAAGCCGCTATGTCATAAACAAGTAAGATTACATTGCCTATTACTGTTTATGGCAGAAGTGGAGAACATATAGTATATAGTATATCTTCAGATGTTGCTGGATGCAGACTTCCATCACCCCTAGCCATGTACCCAGAAGTGATGAATTATAGGGTTTGGTTTCTGCTTCATAGTTGGGCAGGTGGTGAGTAGATGTGATGCATAGAATCAGGCTGAGCTAGGTGTAAACTAACCCACTCTCTAGAGCAGAGGTCCCTAACCCCCCGTCTGCGGCCCAGTCCGAGGCCTGAGCCAGACCGGGCCGCGGAGACGGACCTTCCCCCCCCCGCACTCCCCCCTGCACAGCCTGTTTTGCCTGTGCCCACGGGAGCACTCCCCCACCCCTTTGTGCATGTGCAGAAGTGCCCCCTGAGCACAGCGCCGCCCTTTGCACCTGCACAGAAGCGCCCATGCGCCTGCACAAACGCGCCGCCCTTTGTGCACAAGTGGCCCCACTCCTTTGTGCATGCACTACTATGCACATGAGCGTTGGGGGGGGTGCCCAGCCTTCCCCAACCTGTCCACAGGGCTAAAAATGTTGGGGACCGTTGCTCTAGAGTGGTTTTAGTCCAAGAGCACCTGGGAGGGGACCCTGGGTTGGGAACCACTGATCTAGAGCCTCCCTTCTGAGTCGAGTATAGATGACCCATTTTAGGAGACTCCCAGTTCATCTCCCAACAACACATGGTACTAGAACTCCATAAGACATTGTCCTCTTTTCTAACAGTCTCTCCACTGGGTTTCTCTTTCAAGGTACCCCACATGCAATAGCACTATTTTAAGAGGGAAGGATTGACCCTCCAAGAGGAGATTAAGACATTTCTCTGACCCACTCCTCAGCCATCACCCTTAGATGGCCAGTAATGCCGTTATGAATTCTTCTAGATGTGTCAGGATGCTCTCACTTTAAAGAATAGGAAGAGTTGGCATTTCTGCACACCCTCTTGTTTACATGGGCAAGTTGGACGTTGGCATTCATTGTGGTAGCATAAAGAATGCCTTGCACTGCAAACTTCCAGGAAGCACACTTGGTATGTGGTGATACCGTAGCCTAGATTACATGCATTGAACATTGGTACCTAGGTGATCTTGTTTTGTAGAAGAACAGCGAGCTTGGTGGCCACTCTCCATTAAGACCTAGCCAAGGGGAGGCATCCCAACAGAGTCCCTTCTTGCTAAGAAGGAATAGACAAGCAAATTAGCGACAGACTGGTGAAAAGTTTTGAGTAGGATGCAAGAAAACCTTCCGGCCATCTTGCAAGGCAACATAATCGCTTTCCACAATGGTGGTTGGGCGTCTGAACAGGTGACTGTGCAAAAGTTTAGTCCCACATCTTCGCTTATCAAGATAGGCACTACAACTGGACAGTCAGAAACAGCAGACAATAGTGCTGCTCATGGTAGCAACTATTCAGCTGCCCTAGGGAGGGAGGTTCTTCTTCATACATAACCCTGATCACGCATTCAGTTATGTTCAGCTGCCCTAGGGAGGGAGGTTCTTCTGGTTTTTCCCTCGGAGCACGTAAGAACCCAGCGCAACTGTGAGGATGATCTCTTAGTGGTGGTGATGGGGGTTAGGCCTTATTCTGCTGCTAAGTGTAAAAACAGCTCCAGACTGGAGGCAAAACAGTTGTTTCTCCTTTTTGGACAAGGGACAAAACCCTGGCCTTTGGTCTGGGGTGGTCCTGATTACCATGGGTTTTCCACTGGCTGGGATGCCCAGCCAACATTTGTGGGAATCCAGAAGGCCTTATGTTGCCCCCAGCAAGGAACTTGCTCATTAATGGAGATGCTGCTTAGGCATGTTTTAAAACAAATAACTGCAATGTTTGGATGGCCAGAGCCTTTTGTTCATTATCTTTTTATTTATTGGGCAGATTTCCATAGGGTCTTGTACAGCATAAACTCCAAATTGCATAACTCTGTGTGCACCTGATCATTCTAGTTGTCTGTGGTGCACTCATACATAATCCTGATCACGCATTCAGTTATTCCTATAGGCAGTGAGAAACAGCCAGCAAATTGCAAAAACGACTTGCAGAATTTCCATTCTATTCATGGTACTTGTCAGTAGAAATCAAGCCACTCCAGTTTATATATAAATACGAACAATGTACTGGTGGTTGGGCGTCTGAACAGGTGACTGATTCCAGCGAAATTTCTGTAGAATGAAAACGTTGTAATGTGAAATTAAAAAGCCCATAGAAATGCATTAAAACCCATTTAATGTGTTCCTAGGGGCTTGAAACTCACAGTCCAATGAAGATCCTCCATAGTGTGGCCATTTTCGCTGCCTGTGCAGCGAGGAATCCGTCCCAAAAAAGAGCGGGGAGCCATGATTTTTACCCAGTGGCCATTTTGAAACTGCTGATCAGCTGGCCGAAAATCATCCCTTTGCGAGAATCGGTTCCCGAAGCAGGGAACCGATCATCGCAAAGCGAAATTCCCCCATAGGAAACATTGTTTTGCGATCGCAAAACCTTCAATGTAAAGCTATTTCGTTGTAAAATGGAGCGCTCGTAATGCGAGGCACCACTGTAGTGTGGTGGTCTTGAGGATTAGCCATCTGGGTATGTAGTGCAGGAAACAATACTACTAAAAAGCTAGTTGTGTCATGATTTGGTAGAATGCAGTGGGTTGGAGGGCCTGGCAGCAAAGTCAGGGGTCAGGGATTCACATTCCCACTGTGCCTCTTGAGAAAAGGGGGCAGCCAAGATGGTTTATAGCAATGAGGTCGCCTGCCTGCTACCATCTGTATGATCATGGGCAGGTTGTATGGTTCTGGAGTGCCACCAAAAGGAAGGACTGGGTAATCACTTCTCACTAATTCATACCTAGAAAACCTCGAGAGTGAGGGCCAGCATTAGTTGGAGTTGACTTGATGGTATGTAATTACAGTGGTGCTCCGCAAGACAGGTGCTCCGTTTGACAACGAAATTGCTTGACATTTTGTTTTTGCGATTGCAAAAGAGATTGCAAAGCGATGTTCCCTATGGGGGAATTTCGCTTTGTGATGATCAGTTCCCTGCTTCAGATGATTTTTTAACAGCTGATTGGCGGTTTCAAAATGGCCACCGGGTAAACAGAATGGGCGCCCGCTGTGTTTTCGCACGGATTTCTCGCTGCACAGGCAGCGAAAATGGCCACGCTATGGAGGACCTTCGCTGGACGGTGAGTTTGAAGCCCCTAGGAACGCATTAAGCTGGTTTTAATGTGTTTTATGGGCTTTTTGAAATCGCATGATGACGTTTTAGTTCTACAGCGATTTCGCTGGAACGAATAACATCATCATGTGAGGCACCACTGTATTATAAAAAGAATTGTAGACCCAGATGACCATTGCAAATCAGTTATTTAGGGCCTTGTTTATATTTTAGAGAGGACATCTGCAGAGTTTATTCATTGGGATTTATTACTGTTTTTGTTGTGGATTTTCTTTTTACTGATTTATGTTTTCTAACTCTCCCCTCCCCCATTTACAATAAAACCAAGAATCACATTAATGATTTTCTTTCCATCTTCTCCAGTTCCGGATTAAACATAGTGGGGACACATAAGAGCCACCTAGGTTCAGGTCTGCGAGCTCCCAGGTCCTTGCCATATGTACTACCATGGAAGAACAGTAAGTATGCTATGCTATCCTTCCCATTGTATACATTCAGCTGTGTATCATGGGATAGAGGTCTGCTAGGCCTTTAATAGTACCCTGGATCTTCTTAGAATTCTCCAAATCAGATGCTGTTTTTTAAGGTTCCATGGATCCTCATACTTACAGTGGGTATATAAACAGTACATGCTCGGTGATTGGTACAGCAAACTCTCGACCTAAGAACTTAATCCGTTCCAGAAGGACGTTCGTAAGTTGAAAAGTTCATAAGTCGAATCCAAATTTCCCGTAGGAATGCATTGAAACTTACTTAATGTGTTCCTATGTGGAAAAAAGTCATAAACAACAACAACAAAATTTAAAACAAAGTCACTTACCAGGTACTGCAGACCAAGCTTGGCTCCTCACAGCACCCCCACAGCCGTGGAACAGCTGGAAAAAGAGCGCCCAAAAGCTGAGTCAGCAACCAGCACGCAGGCTCCAGCCATCCTGGAGAGAAAGCACCCATCTTGAGAGACAACCAGCCATGTGGTCGCCTCTCAAAATGGCCACAGCCTCCAAAATGGCTGCCACCTCTCTGCTCTTTTTCCGGCTGTTCCGAGGCCACAAAGGAACTACAGTATAAGGAGCCAGGCTCGGTCCACAGTACCTGGTAAGTGACTTTTTTCTTCTGATGGTGCTGGGAGGACTAGCTGGGGACCTTTGAAAGCAGTGGTGGTGGCGGGGGGGAAGGGCGTAACTCGAATCCAAGTTCGCAAGTAGAAGGAATATTTCCCTATCAGAGCGGTTCATAAGTCAAAATGTCCATAAATAGGGCCGTTCATAAGTTGAGGGTTGACTGTACTGTGAAAAGAAAAGAGCCTGGAAAGTCTTCTTGACAGATCCATTTTGATACTGGTTGTATAACAAATCTTTCAGTGGCAACCCCAGTGGGATCGATTCCATGATTGAGGTACTACCCTGTTTCCCCAAAAATAAGACCTAACTTGAAAATAAGCCCTAGTAGGATTTTTCAGGATGCTCGTAATATAAGCGCTACCCCAAAAATAAGCTCCAGTTGAGTGAAAACCCGCCCTTCACCAGTGTGCAGCCACCAGAAGAAGATGACATGACTGTATTTGAATAAATGTAGATTATTGTACATAAAAAATGAAACATCCCCTGAAAATAAGCCCTAATGCTTTTTGGAGCAAAAATTAATATAAGACCCTGATTTATTTTGGGGGAAGCAGTAGCAGTGGTTCACACTGGGTTTGAATAGTGGAGTCTGAAAAGTTTTTATAAACTTGCCAGCTATAAAATCAAATCAGTAAAAGTACAGTGGTGCCCTGCATAGCGATGTTAATCCGTTCCTGGAAAAACGTTGCTATCCGGAAATGTCGCTATGCGGGGGGGAATCCCCATAGGAATGCATTAAACTCTTCCTATGGGGACAAAACTCACCGCTAAGTGGGAATCCTCAATCTGGCGCCATTTTCGCCGCCTCGGTAAGCGAGGAATCTGCACCAAAACGCTGCAGGCGGCCATTTTCTTCTTCCGGTGGCTATTTTGGAACCGCCGATCAGCTGTTCCAAAACATCGCAATACTAATCATCGCAATGCGATGTTTACCCTATTCAGAACATCGCAATGCGATCGGTTTTTCGATCGCAAAAAGCGTATCACTATGCGGATTCATCGTTAAACGGTGCGTTTGTTAAGCGAGGCACCACTGTACCGTTAAACAAGAATCTTGTTGCCAGTCTATGTTCACAGAAAGAAAATAGCAAAACGTTTAGCAGTAAGTTGTGCTCTTCAGTGAGTTGCTGGTTCATGCCAGGCATACGGTCAGTATGTCCCTAATGTGGAGCCAAGACTTAGATTACTTCTGTTAACAAAATGTAAATCAGCAATAAGATTTTGGCCACTGGAATTAACTTTCAAAAATCTGTAATAAATTTGAACAACAATAGGTAAGCTTTCTGTACATATGAACAATTCACGGGACTATGGGGGGCCCTCTTTGCTGGCCTCACTGAGAAATTGCACTTTAAAGCCTTATAAGCCTTATAAGGCAGACTTGACAACCTTTGCCTTTCTTGGCCTCAGAGAACTTTTGTCCGTATTTGATCATTGGGAGGTAATAGGCAGTGGATGACTGAGAGGGTGCTCTAACCATCACTGTCGTTTAGCATTCATGCAGCAATGCTTTTTCAAATGGTGATTTTGTCATTGTTCACAGCGTACCAGTGTGGCTGGTGTTGTGCATTTCTTAGAACTTCAGCTTCTGAAACATGGAAGTGTGTGTGTGTAGGTGTGTGTAGTATTTGTTCACCTGGATAATCCTTGAGAGAAAAGTTTAGAGGCTTCAGTCAAGATTGATCACACTTTGCAGTACTAAACTGATATCCTAGTCATCTGTAGTGTTCACACAGGGCTCTGTTGTGCAGGTGTTGGGACTTGTCCTCAGCTTGCAGAAGGAGAGACATCTATTCATTTCTGTGGCAATCTCTGTATAAGAAGATCACATAGAATGTTACACTATAATTTCAAACAGTATAAGAATCATGCTTTAGGATACCTGTAAAATTTCAATCAGCTTTACTTTGGCATCTGTATAGTTGTATGGCGAGATGGGAATTTGCTTGGATGAAATCGGATTGAACTGCTGTCCTCTTGACTCAAGTAAGGGCTCAAATACGTGTGAGACAAAAATCCAAGTAATACCCATTATTTTCATCCCTCTCTTATACTGATACATTTTTTCCAGCAGTCACATGGTGTTTCACTCAGTGGGAGTGTTTGCATTGTTTTGAACTGCATCATTACATTTCATTCTATTTGAACCTTTATAACAGGCTATGAGTACAATGCTCTTTAATTTTGTGTCGATTATTTGTCATTCTATTTGAACCTTTATAACAGGCTACGAGTACAATGCTCTTTAATTTTGTGTTGATTATTTGCTGTTTCTTGGGGCAATCAGACCCCCTTGTCCTTTTCTTTTAATTACAAAAGTGATGCATCGTTAGAGCTGTATCAGCCTTCTCTCCTTCCCTTTTTCATTCCCTCCTTTATTCATGAATCCACTTTTCCTTATTTTCCTGCATATCTCTCCCTCGTTGCTTTCATTGTTCTTTTCCCATTTGCACAGCATTAGGAGGAGGAAGCAGGTTTTAAAAGACTTGCAAAGTATTGTGAAGAGCAGGGTTTAAAAGAGAGAGAGGAGATGTTCATGCAACACCCAAGAAATGTCTCTTTCTTGGTTCAAGTCCTCTTTCACCCACAAGGAAGGGGTGAGGCTGTCCCTTTCTGAGTAACATTTGTGGTGGCAGTGGCTACTAGTGATTTACTGATATCCCTTTTTAAAAATTTAAGGGTTAGGGTTAGGGGGGTACAAGCACAATGGCCATGAAATGGCCACAGCACACCGAAACCCAGACCCTTCACAATGGAAATAAATTGACAGCATTGTTCACACACACTGAATTAATACATCACCAGTACAATTTAAAACCACCCTCCTAGCAAGGAGGAAATAAACCGATTGCTAGGGCAAATGAATTGATGTTGGCTGTGTGTCGTATGAATGGATCATTTTTAAATGGCCAAAACCATATAATGTGGGTTCTTTTGGCAGATGTGATTGAACTCTGAGATACTCATTTATGACTTTGTGCTAGTGGCTGAATTGAATGAGCTCACTACTTTGTATATTTGGTGACATAAAGTGGCAACCTGTTGATCAAGCATAAAGCTTTTGTTTTTCATTCGAGCCCTTTCTCCCCACCCTTATCTGCATATTCAGCCTGTTACCAAGTTACTGTATGTGTCGTCTTGCTGCAAAACTATGCCTTTTCCTCTATGCTGCATGGATAACTGTGATCCCTACTATATTATCTCCTTCTGATATCTGCAGACACAGTTATTGGCTGTTGAAGCCAGTTAAAATGTCTGGTTGCCCACAGCTGTCCTTCTGAATATTCAGAAACGGGAGTTTACAGCACATGAATGCTATAAAAGTGAGTTTATAGCTCACAAAGGCCATGAATGCTCACTCTGTAATAAACGACGACTCTATTTTCGCCTTGTGCTAGACCTCCTAAAGCAGGTGGCCAAAACTGTAACTATCTTTATTTCCTCACCAAGTTAAAATCACGGTATTTACTAGGGATAGTCCTGTCATCTCTAAATGAAGGAGCCCAAATGGTAAAAGAGGCTTTTGTGCAATTTTTATGCTTCCTGTGATTATTGAAAGAGAGCCTGTAAACTTGAATGATTTATGGTTTATGAAAAAGAAGGAAATGGAAGTTTTGCGTTCCTTTTGTATAATGTTCAGGTGTTCTTTCATCCTTCATCTGCCAAATCACCAGATCATTATTTTTTTTTTGGTCCAGTCACATAACTGGCTCTGTGAAGCTGATCAGAATTTCCAGAATTGGGGAGCAGGAATTTTGAGTCTGTAAAAGGTCATGGAACCCAGTAAGGATGGTTCTATTGGCTTCAGTCATTCCATGTGGGATGATGGTGTGCGGAGCTCCTGGTGCCCTTTCATCTTCGATGACTGCTTTGCCCTCACCTTGGGTCCGTTGTTTCTCTTTTCCCCCTTTATTTTGGGGGATCCCCAGCCACCCCAACTTATTTAGATCATTTTTGCTGCTGCCAGACAACCTGCTTGTGCCAGCATGCATCTTTTGAGTTTTTAATCCTCTTCATGGTTTGTTTGGTTTTTTGGTTTTTTTTTTTTTTAAAGAATATGTTTTCTACTGCCTGGCCTGTCTCCTCCTCCTCCCTGCTGGATTCAAAGAAGTGAAGAAGAGGCATGAGAGGGAAATTAGTTTCGCCCTATTCTAGTACGTTTGTTGTGGGTCGGGCTTTGCTTGGTTTTTTCCCCCCTTTGCCTTCTTGCTTGCTTCTTTTGGTTTAAGGAAGGGAGGCTATATATATATATATTCCCATTTTCCCCCCTCTGTGTGTAGGAGTTACCTACAAAGGTCTGGTTGGTGATTTTTTTCCCTCTCTTCAACGTTGCTGCC